ATTAATTATCAAGATACAGAAATTAGCTGGGCTAAGAAGTGAACCTGCGACTTTTTGGAACATCCTACCAATGACAAGAAAATTCCCTCAACTTGCGACTCTTTGGGAGGGGTTTGGAACAACATTAAAACTGATGATGTCATCAGTGCATACAACAAAAATTGCTGAATTTTCGAGATTTTGCTGGTCTGACTTCTTTGACGTCTCGTTGTGTAAGTCCATTGCAACAATGTAAAAAAAGGGGGTTGGGTTTCTTTCAAAATTGGTATTCGGCTACGCAACGGTTGGTAAATCTGGGGAAAAATTACCCAACATTCGACAATAAAAGCCCAATACTGTAGGCAAGTTGATAATTCGACTTTCGTGGGGTAAATATTGCCCAAATTATATTTAACTATGGATAAGCAAGAAAGCAACCCTTCCTCAGAAATGTATTCATTGGGTAATTCTGAGTTAACGATTTGATCATAAAAACCTAGTATGCAATGAGCCATGTCTTTCCCTAGATGGCAATACAGCATAGCGCCCTCAGTTGTGTGGGAAATCATAGGAGATTTTGAATGTTTAAAAGTGCACCTTTAGAGTATATTTTGACCAAAATGGGATTTCAAATAATTTTCATAATTCGTAAGAGGATATAAAGTTGCGGAAAACTGTGTCTCAGAAAATTTATTGCTGCAACCCTTTAAATAAGTATTTACCAGCCAACAGTATGATTGTGCCGACAGCAGTGACGAACGAGGAGAGGGTAGCACCGTACCCCTCCTCCTGCAACGCCGGTAATCGACGGCTTTCCGTAAACTGGAAACTCATTTCACTTTGGCGATTCGTTGGTGCTTTCATATACTCTCTGGCTGACTGCCAACACCTGCGTGGATATGTATCATGTATGCTTCATAGACCTGCCAAACCATCTAAAGCAAGACTTTCTGCGCACCCCTTATTTCCATAATACATGTAGCATTGAAAACATGGATATTGCCCGTGCGGGGCCAACAGGACAGCGAGCCGTGCGTGCAGTTGAGCTAAAAGTTGTGGTGCGATCAGTCCTATCGGCGCTCCATCATGCAGACTTGACCTTGAAAGGGTTGGCTGTTCCGTATGGAACACGCCGCTTGTGGGTACATCAAGGAGTTCATGGTCATAAGGAAACCAAGCAGATGTGTGGTAAACATTTGAAATATGAAGATAATTGCGAGTATAATGTTTATCTGATATGGTGTATCCAACCACTGTTGTAATGTGTTCCAATCTAGAATAACAAACATCACTGCTTCGAGATCATGATAAAATCGTCAATGAAATCTAAACACAAAATTCGCTACTCGTCGTGACTAGTAAATGGTAGCGCCTGCGTACAGCAGATGGGCGATTATCTCTCTGTTTGGATTTTTGATTTAATAAATACCACTAATTTGGACAATAAGCCAGTTCGTAATTACTGCATGTGCATTGTGCTGGAAAGTAGGGCAAGGTTCATTTGTACATAAAACGAATCGCTTCACCGTGCGTCCTGAGCGGGCGCCCTTCTGTTGCATTCGTTTGTGTAGTGAATGTTCAGTGCGCAATTCAGTGAGAGCTTCAATTTTGATCAATTCTTTTCAGTTTTGGTTAAGTCTTTCAATTGATGAAATTTGTCCGTGGACCCCGGCGCGATTGAAAGACTTTTCAAGCAACAACGACATATTTCACATGCTGTACTTGGATTACTAATCAACATGCTTAACTGAAATAATTGAACCTTAATTTGTATTTAAAGTTTCAGTTTTCTTCTATTTTCAGTTTCATTATATTTTAAAGATACTGCTTTCCGCAAAGATTTCCTGGAGTAAAATTCCTTTACGAATGTCACTTTATACCCTGTGCACAAACCCTATGTGGCTGGTCTGAAAAAATTCTAAGCGTTTTCTAGAAAAAGCTTCATTTTCTCACTGCTAAATGTGACTTTTTAGGACATATTGCTTTCTGAGTGCTAATAAGATCCTGCAGGGGGAAATTAGTGGCATTTGTATTTGGAAATCTTACCAATTTTCTCTTCGTAAAAGTTACAGAAAAGTATTGTAAATTATTTCGGGACACTATTCGGTATTGTTTTTTAAATGCCTGTACTTGATTGTAGGTTAGCAGAACGTTCATTATGTTCTTGGTTCTTCCCCATTAACAGCAGCCCACGCACACATCCATTCGTTTTATTTACAAATGACCTGTGCAAAAGTTCATTCGCGCATGCGCAGTTCGTAATTACTTGGATATTGTTTCATTTTGCTGAAATGAAACTATACTGTCAATTATTTAATGCGCCCTCTGGAAACAACGCAGACTGATATTTCTAGGCATACGAGTCAACGCTACTGGCTAATCCTCCAAACGCAAACTGTTACCCCACCGCTATGTCTGCATTTGTTTAACGCTCCATTCATCTCACATATCAATAAACCAGCAAGACAGCGTATAGCAAGCGCCTGCCGCCTACATGCAGCCAAGATTGCTTGACTGATCCGCCATCAGGTTTTGCATCGAGACTGAATTGTATCGACTCAAGGGACATCCAGGCAGGTTCATAGACGCCTCCTCTTTCAAACTTGCACGACGCGATTCGTAACAGCGGTCTGTGCCGACTGATATCGCCCCGTTGCCTCGTCGCGTGCCAGTCCCGGCTCCTCCCCTATCGATTTTTTACCTCCATTTCCACTTGTCAGATTTGATAATGAATTCCGGGGATTTTGTGATTTGGGAAGAATACCACATAGAAAGATGAATAAAGGTAACTTGTCGAGTGCATTAAATAAAACAAACCTGTTGTTAAACGTAGAATAAGTAAGTAAATAATTTCAAGATCTGTATGGTGTCTCTATGATATAAGTCGGCACAGCATCTGAGGGGCACATCACACCAACTGTATTCGGTTTACGCCTCGCGTGGGGAG